GACTCTTCTAGGTTTCCCATGACCATGAGCCTAAAGGGGAAAACCTTTATAAAAATAATGTTGAGCAACAAATGTTCCGAAAATTAAAGGTACAATATGCAGGATTTTTCGCCACCAGGGGTCGCTAACCTCTTACAATAACAAAGGCGTATATTAATGACGTATATTCCCCATTAAGCGGAATTATGGATCTTGTCGTCAAGCTGATGTATCTTTTATGGATGAGTGAATACATTGATGTTTTTAACATGACTGTGGTGTTAAGCAGGGTGCGATTGCTAGACGTATACCAGCGCCACACGCAACGCGAGTCCCGCGTATATAAAGGAATAAGGACATTTCATTCTACCGAACTACACGCAAGTGCTGAATTAATACTCACACAGGTCAGTTTATTAGAGGAATTAAACTTGAGGTAATGCAGCGCTGTTTCACTTGCTCTAACAGTTACACTATCACACTAAACGGCATTTGTGGGTGGAATGTTGTCAGTTAGGTTGTTTGTTGGCTGTATGAGACTAAGCTAGATTAACATTAGAGAATAACATACAGATCATATTCTAACATTTCATCATGTTGAACTACATAACATTGATTAGTTTTATGTACATTTGATCACCGGTCTAATAAAGTAACATGCAACACTCGCGTCTCTGTCAAATCAAAGTAAGTTGCGGACGTGGAGCTCTCGGCATCTCGAAAGATGTTGATCTTCGTTTTAGTCCTCTTTTTGTCTCAAAGTCTGCTTGCCATGGTCCATAATGTTTGAACAAAACAACAACAGCGTGAGCGTCCTTCTAGCCATAACCCAGTTGTCTACGTCTGTCGCCATGGTTACTGATGCAGTACGACATCAAACCTGGCGGAAACCGGGGGTAACGCGGATATACGCCATTGCGACTCCTCACACGCCCCATTTCCTTGGTTAAAATCACAATTTTCTCACGATTTACGAATAGTTGGAAACATTTGGGATATTGTAAGTAATCAACTAAACAAAATATATAACATTGGCCTAGTGTTTTTTGGATATTTTACTGCAAAAATCCTGCATATTGTACCTTTAAGCCATAAAATGGTAACTTCTTGGACAGCGTGATAGCCAAGGAAAAACACATAAAATGCAAAAAGCAGAAGAGGCACCCAAACATAGGTGAATATCTCTGAACGTGTTAAACAGAATAATCGAAAACCAGTTCATCCTTCTGCTTTAAAATTTTGGGCTAATCTGTGGACATAATCATGTCGAGTTAATTTTATGCATTGTTTGTTTTAAATGTTTCTGCTGATTTAGAGCAGCAGTGATAGTCAGATGTGCGTCTTTAGAGTTAGATTAGCTTGTGCAACTCTTGTTAAATTTCACGGTGTTGTTTGTCAAGTGAGCACGTCTCGCGTGAGAGCAGTTTCGTGAGGACACTGTACGGACACCTTAAACAAATTAAACAAATCCATCATTAACCGACTCTGCGCTGCTGCGTCACTTCCTCTGGCATGTTCACGAGCACTGCTGTTTGTTTTTAGCCTGTCAGCTGACAAACGACATGTCAAAACAACCGCGCTTATTAAAATAAAATGATATATAATAAATGGCATCACTACATGCAATAGCGATGAACTACGTTAAAGCACGGAAAGAGTTTTTTATTTTATTTTTTACATTTTTTTATTTATTTTTTTGGAAATGCTGAAAACAAACAAGTGCGTGCAAAACACGCCTTTCTTCGTCTTTCAAAACACCCAAACAAATTACTTAAATGGTTTGAATTACATTTAGAGACATTGCAACTTACTAAAGTGAAATCCCTCCCCAAACAATAAGCTGCTTAGCTAGAAGAAGATAGCAACTGGCTAATTTGAACACTGTAAAGATGCAGGACCATGACACCCTATCATTCAGTGTCACTCGGTGTCTAATGTTGTATTTGTCATCATATACTCACTGTTTGGGTCTTGGTCTTGGCCATGGACGTTCACAGGCAGATGTCTCAGTAATGTTGTCATTACAGAGCTGTTAGTGGATGGCCGCTGCTGCCTCTCTCTCCTGCCAGCTCTGACGTCACACCACAACAACGTCTCATGCAGTGGAGAAGTTGCCGTGAGAACTGCAGCACGGGCTCTCCGGACAGCAGAGGGCAGCACAGCACGGCCAATGGAGAGACCGTTTCCCTCATCTGACAGCCGTAATCTCTGCATTGTTTTAATCTTTTGGATTGTTGTAGCCTAGTGGAAACGCAACAGTTGTGGATTTTTTCTTTGGCTGTTGAAGCAACTGGGAAGACAAAATATATGTCTACCTGTTTATTGATTTATGCTCTCCCATTTGCCTCCTTTGAAGTTTAGCCTGGTGAAGGTTACTTTTATTCATTCATTCATTCGCTCTTCCATGTACCAGAAGTTTACCCTAAAAGTAAGTGAGTGAGTGAGTGAGTGAGTGAGTGAGTGAGTGAGTGAGTGTGTATGTGTCTGTCTGTCTATTTTTCAGACCTTTTCCAGTAAACCCTATAGAGATGGTTGTATGTGAAAATTCCTGTAGATCCTTCGTTTTTGGCTTGCTTAGTTGGGGACATTTAAAGCTGCTGTCCGTAGCTTTTTTTGGGTTAAAAATTATCCAAAATACATATTTGATAAAATACATAACCAGCCAGTGTTCAAAACTATCTGCTTGCCTTAGCTCGATGCAAAACGGTAAGCTTGTAATAATGTTTTTAATTCCAGTGGTACTGGTGGATTTCCGCGGGAGATTCGAGCATGTCTTTGCGTCATTACGTCACATCTGTACACATAAAGAAGGAGTCTCGGCTAGTATAAGCTATATTGCGTGTGAGGATGTTGGAGGTAGAGATTTATAGCCTTTTCTCACAGCACTTGATATAATTAAACTTATCAATTTGATGGCGGATCCAGAAAGGTTTAAACGACGATCATCATCAGTGACAACTAGAGACTCACCCGCTGTAACATGCAAAAGACTTCGTTCGGACTTCGGAGTGGCTACAGAAAAAAAGAGACTGCAACCGGACCCATGCGAAAACAAGGATAATATCGGAAGGACATTACATGATGTAGTCACGCAATGCTTGCTGACGTTGTTAACATTAACAATTTGAGAACATATAGCTACTTTGCACGGTTTTGCGTGAAATGATAATTTATAAGCAATTGTTAGATTTAATCAGCGCGATTTACTGCAATGTCAGAACCAGAACAAAAGTGAATGTTTCTTACTAGTTCAGATGACATTTCCCGGTGAAAATTATTATGTTGGTCATACTTCCAAAAAGAATAATCTGTGATTCTGAATGACAATATCCACATCGGCGCGGTGACTGACAGCTGCACACTCTCCTCAAACATTGTGTTCATCCGCGCTGTGCCGTGTCGAGGGTGTTGAACTACAACTCACGTAAAGTTGATAATTCCGCGAATGACTGCAATTGCAGATTTCGAACAGAGATGGCGACAAAGAGGAAAAATGCCGGACTGCAGCTTTAATGTAATATTCAACAATATTATTGATCTGCCATTATATGCAGGGATAGATTACGTACCGGGCCTATGGGGCCAGTGCCCAGGGGTCATTGACTACCAGAAGCCCGGGGGGCCCTGGCTGCGTGATCCAGTTTGGTTCAGAAAACCCATTAACAATGAAAACAAATGTTTATTTATGCTGTAATATATGTGTCCTGTATAGTCTATACAGGACCTTTTAAACAAGGCAATTGAACTATGAGGGCTCCCTGTAACTTGTGTTACTGTTGGCCCTTTGTGAATACGAAGGCCCCAAAACCTCTTATAGAACTAATTGTCCCACCCTGTTTAAAACTATATTTATTTGAACCACTCTTTGAGCTTCTTTCTTTGCATGAAAGGTATTGGGAAAATAGCTATTTATTATTACAGCATAACTTAAGTTGAAGTCGAATTACGATTTTTTTTATCCTGGTTAAAATTCACAACAATTGTGTGCTGATATATTAATATGACTATTATTAATTAATAATAAATATGATTATTATGTATTATTGCTAAATAAAATATTAACTAAATAAGAAATATTACTATTGTAATAATACTTTCATTTGTTCAATATAGTATTTAATAATAAATATAACAAAATAATAATTTGAAAATAATAACAATATTTTTATTTTACAGAAGACTTATTTTACGAAAAACTGCCGGGTTACCTGTTAACATGCAGGCAGCCTATGACTAAAAATTTGCATCACAATAAGTGTATTGTGATTGTCAAAACATTTGGTGATGGAGAAAAACGCTATTTTCTTCTAGATACAAACTTTGTTGCATTATTTTCCTGTTATATCTGTAAAGCTTCTTTGAAACAATCAGTACACAACAACTTAACACGACTAATAGCCTACCATAACCAGCACAAACTCAAACTGAGGGATTATATACACAGCAGACAAAGGGAGAAACTAACTAGATACTTAATGAAACACACCTGAACTGAAACTAACACAATCAATTAGAAACCATAGAAATAAACAGGGAGAGAACAGAACAGCCCAAGATTAGCCCAAGATTAACAAAGAAACTCAAAAATGAACAGAACAGAGAAACAGATAAAAAGCAATCTCAAAATGTGATGCATGTGTATATATACACACACACTCCTAATTCTCCCATGTTAAGTGTTTAGGGTCATTGTTCTGCTGGAAAATTGAATTCATGATACAGATTCAATAATAAATCATACAACAACAACAGAAAATTATTTACATATTGTGATTTTTTTCAATAACCTTGAATTAGACTGAATTCCTGTGTGCATTACTAAATAACATCTATTCTTCAAGGTGAAATCGCTTTAAGTGTTAGTGTGCTTTTCCACATGAAATACGCAATATTTAAACTTTCTTCTTAGTACAAATATCACAAATAGAAATATATTCAGCACTAATGAAAAACAGAATCTGGAGAATCACATCACTGCACACAAAACCTCAAACCTCATTTGAACTCAGCTACTTTTGGAGCTACTTTTACACCTCTTAGCGTGGACAACTTGTTTTCAGTGAAGAATAAGAATTCCTTGATAACATTATTTGAAAAGGGCTTGTTCTACAGCATAAATTGTATACTTCAAAAAGTGAATAAATGCATTATATGTCAGTTCAGAATGACCACATGTCATTGTCTACTACAGATGTCTTCATGCATTTAATCCCTGAAGGTGTTTTCATCCAGCTCTATATCTCTGGCGATGGTGGGGACGGGGCTTGTGGGAATGTCGGTGAGAGTGCAGTAGTCCTGTTTCGAACGCATGGGCGTTGGGTTAATGATAACTGGTGCTTCAGAGGCCTCAAAGTCCTCAAGGCTCTCAAGACTAAGAGCAGAGTCATTCAGACACAGCACATCTCCACTCAGACACGCCACGCTGAGAGACTGCATGAAGTCGTCCACTTCATCTGGCAACACTTCACAGAACAAAGAAAATTCCTCACATGGGATACTGGTCTCGCTGCACGTATTGGGTATTTGGCGTGGGGCCCAGACCTCAGCTGTGGGGCCCACATAGGGTTGATGGCACTGTGCTGCCGGATACATGCCCGTTTTCTCTACCTGATCCTGTAGTGTAGATATGACCTCGGAAATCTTGTCGACTGTTGAAAAGTCTTCTATGACATGAATGTTTTGTAAAGGACTTTTTGCCAAAACCCAACACTTTTGGGGGAAAAAAGAGGATAATAAAAGAGGAAATATTAATCTGATATGAATATGATGATATATCTTACACAATATATATATATATATATATATATATATATATATAAATGTGTGTGTGTAAAAAATACAGTATAAATATATACATATATATTATACTGTAAATTAATTGATATTATACATAATATTATGTAGGATAACATAAGGTTCTGAATGTTTTATACGTTTTTTTTTCTTTCTTTCTTTTTTATACATATGACTTATGTTACTTTGCGTTTTTCGTTTACAGACAACATGGATCTCCATGAAAACGACTAAAAACTTTGTATTATTCTGCCAGGCCAGTAGTTGGCGATGTTACTTTGTAAAGAAACACTACTCACCTATAAACACGTAATGGGCATGACATGTACATACTGTGTGTGTGTGTGTTTATATCACATACATACTTTTTCAAATAAAATACGCTTAAAAATATATTTATCTATATATGAATTATTATAAAACGGTTAGTTCCAATCCTTGATTCTGATTGGTCAATAGCTGTGCTTTATTCATGATAAAACACGGCTATGACCACCCAACGGTTGCAACACTGCAGTTCCTATGTTGTTTTTATTTGAGCTTTCCTGCATATTACACATTGGAACGTTGTTGCTGTTCACGGTCAGGGACTATTTTTTTCTAGCGGAAGGAAGGCTTTTAGTGATTTTACTTTATGAAAGTTGCACTAATACATTTTTTTTTTACTTTAATATTTTTATTGTGTGGTAACCGTTTTATAAAAGCAATAAGGTACTCGAGGCAAGTGCTGTATCGTGAATAACGATACAGCACTTGCCTGTATTGACGCTTCGCGTCGTGCCTAACAACGCCCTTCAGCCGTTACTTATTCACGATACAGCACAGCCTCTCGTACTTAATTGCTTACATATTATATTTGAGTGGTTCTCAGTGTTTTACATGATTTATTTATGTTTATTTTTTGTAATTTTTCTCACAAGTCCCTTGTTCTCATTTCATGTACCACCAATGGGTTCAAACGGGTCCCTCACTTGGGAAACCCTGGTCTATTTGAAGTCTGAAATCTTACCTGAAAATTGCCCTGGTAATTTTGATAAAGAGGCTGGAAGTACGTTGCTGGTGTCGGCACCAATGAAATTTCTTTCATCTTAAAACTGCAATGCATAAATGTCACATTTTATATCCAGTTACCTTTCCTGTCTCACCTGTTGGTGTATTGCATAATTTTGCATAAATTTGTGGCAATAGCACATGTATGATAAACAATTACCTTACAGCAGGAAGCAGAATTAAAAGTCCGAGTATTAAAACTGTTCCAATGACAATCTTGCTGACTTGACTGGACTCATCTTGTACCAAAAATATAAATAAATAAAAAACAACAATAATAATATTAATAAAATTGAGAAAAAATTATAAATTTGACCCATCCCAGTTTGTTATATTTTAAAGATGCAGTAAGCGATTTTTGAGAAACTGTTGATATTTGAAATAATCCCAAACAAACACACCCCTCTCTTCATTGCTCCACCCCCAAATGCATGAAAACGCAATGCAAGAGTGGATGTCTCTTTATCATAGCTATAGCTAAAGCAAAATAATGCTTCAATGACACTCAGAACTGTCCTGTTACTAAAGCTAACAACAGCATATCCAACGCTATCTCACGACCAATTCGTACGAATTTGTACGAATGATTAAAAGGTGGCTAATTCGTACGAATTCATACGAACTCACTCGTACGGATTCGTACGATTTGTCTAAACCCACGTGATGGGTAGGTTTAGGGGCGGGGTCAGGGGTAGGTCATTCGTATGAATTCATACGAATTTGGAATTCGTAAAATATGTACGATTTAGCAAAAATCCTACAAATTCGTACGAGTCAGGTCGTATGAATTGTTACGAATTAGCCACTCGTACAAATTCGTACGAATTGGTCATGAGATCGGGTTGGCATATCTTTGTTTTGTGAATCAGCAAAGTCAATGTTACTCAGAAACAACGCAATCTCTGTGTCCGTTTTCAGGCCTTCCCGCTTAGGTCTCTCCAGCTTTCTTTTCTAATATCACCGGTGTGATCGTACGTGTGAAAGGGTTAAAAAAAAAAACAGCGGTTTCAGGCTCCCAAAACGCCGGATCCGTCTGGACGAAACGGCGATACGATACAATTTTTTGTTTACATATACAGCTAAACACATCTCCGTGTGGACAAGGCCTAAATCTCCCTCTTGCTCACTCTCTCTCTCTCCTCCCCCATCATGAGTGGATACGCCCCCTACTGCTGATTGGCTACAAGCGTGTGGTGCTGCTCTGGCCAATCCACTTTCAACAGCATTTTTTTTTAATCGCTTACTGCACCTTTAATCTCTCAGCAAACATATAGATTTATATAAATCAAGTACATGAGAGTGTAAATATAGATCATTATCACAGTATCCACCTCTGTATGCCGTATTCCACTTGACTGTCCTGCTCCAGTCGCTCCACGTTCCATTGTATGTCTTATCTTTATGTATCCCAGTCCTCACCATAGCAGTGTACGTAGTTCCAGGATCAAGCTTCATTTCATCAATCTGAATCATTTCAGTGTTTGGATGAACACTAACCTCCTTCAAAAAAAAAAGAAAAAAGAAAAGTACGTCATTGTGAAACCATTCATAGAAAACATTCATTTTCAAAGCATGTGGGTGAAACTGAGGATGTTCTCTGAGAACACACACTATGAATGGTGGACATTTACAGCTGAATCATCACTCTAATTAATCTCTAATTAATCTTACGCTTTCATTTTCTCCATCTTTGTAGTACAAGAATTTGTACATGATGGGTAGAGCATTTTTGAATGGATGATCTTCGTATCCATTCTTCCAAACGAAACGATACGTCCCACTTACATGTTGTAACGTCAGATTAAATGGGGCTTTTGGCTTAACTGGGAAAAGAGAGAAGCTTCATGTATGTGAAATATAAAAAGAAAAAAAAAGCTTTTTTCTTTAGTTACATAAAGATTTACTCACTGTTTTTTGCTGGACGAAAATCATCATCCAGCAGAGACGAATAATTACTGCCGTTTTCCAAATAATGAAGCGTCACATTATAAGCATGAAAATTAGCCATTGTTTTAACTACTGTGAAACTGCAGGTGTGATCTTCACGTGCTCTCTGGAGTGGACATATATACGGCCTGTGTGTTTGGGAGAATCTGTAATGCACACAAATGCACATGCACTTGTAATGCACACAAATTCAACTGAAAAATAGTGTATGAATTACTAAACAGACAATGGTAATGAATAACTGCTTACAAGTCTTTCGACCTTTTAAATTCCAGCCAGTATGATGTGTTTCTAGTGGGTGTGACTGTTAGTTTTAAAGAGCAGCTGATGGTTCTCCGGTAATCTGTCACACAGATGAGCCCTTTTGTCAGAGCTGAAACATGAAACAGAAAAATGGTCACATATTTTTGGAAGTACTACATGTAAAATCCATTGTGACTAAAAGTGCAGATTTGAGAAGCCTTTTTTTACCCTGTGAACTGGCATTAAGCTCCACTAAAAAAGCCAAGAAAATGCAGATCATTCCAGTGCGGTTCATCATTCTTGTAAAGGATTGTATGTACACACACTTCCACATTTCAAGACATAATTCAGCATGCAACTGAAAAGACCCCATTGAAAAGTTAGCCATAAATGAAACAATTACACTGATAAAGAAACACTTTCAATATAAGTCCATCAGGTTCCATTGATTTAAGTTCTAGAGTTTTACAAATAAGGTGATTATCCTGAACGTGTACTTGAACATTAAAAGCCAAAACACAAATCATATGTATCATACATTCCTGTATTTAGGCTCAAATTTTAAAGAACACATGTTAGAACAGACACAATTATATCAACTCACCAAATTTATTCTGAAGCATTGGAGACATACATAATAGCGTGAAAGTTGACATCTGTGGCAGTGAAGGGCATCAAGTTGGTTTTATACACAGAGAAGTTCCTGTTTATGTAGGAGGTCTTAACCTCAAAGTTATCTGAAATCTCCGATTAGTCGTTTAAGATGGCATCACAAGGTTCTCACACATGTGGAACCACGAGGTAAATTCTCACATTAAATTAAACTGTCCTGGTGAACATACCTTACTCTAAAAAAAGTTGCAGGAACAATCAACTTGGATGTTTGATAGTCATTTCAACTTAAATTACATTAAACTGACTTGAAAAATGTGTTGATTCTTGCATGACGTAAAAAAGGTTGAAAAATGCATGTTGTCATAACTTATGGATCATATCATTTTTTACAGTGTACAAAAACATAAAACAACATGTAATCATGGGATATCACTTCAAAATTAAAATTCTATCATCATATACTCACCCTCAAGTTGTTTCAAACCTGTAAGAATTTCTTTCTTCTGCTTAACACAAAGAAAGATATTTTGAAGAATGTCAGTAACCAAACAGTTAACTGGACGCACGCTCAGGTTGTTATTCACTTCAATGTCCACACACTAGTTAATATGCTTACATTGTAGATTTATTTAACCGTGACTGGTCTTCATTCCAAGAGTAAAAAAAACAGTCAATAAATCTACAGTTCCAAGTCCATCACCAGTACAGATTCCCTACTTGCATAGCGTGTCATAGCATATAGCGTAGCATAGCACAGAGTAGCATAGCATAACGTAGCGGTCAAAAAACTGAGTGCACCTTCCCTCAAGGAACACCTGTCACTTCTTCTTCTTCTTCTTCTGCTTAATGGCGGATCATATCTTCACGATATATACCGCCATCCACTGGACTATTACACAGGAGTGTGTAAAATTGGCGTTGGCAATTGACACATTAAATCATAAAAAATATTAAAAATACTAAATTCTTCTAATTAAACCAGTATCATTAAGATACATTATGAAATACCTGATTCTTTGTCCCTCCATTCCTTGCTCCTGTAAAATATTATGAATGTCATTTTCTGCATCAGAGTCTTTCCATTTCTGTCTAATTCGGTCAAATTTCTTACATTTAAATAAAACATGGGTAACATCCTCCAGGACTTTGCATTCAGAGCACATGCCATTATTTGTATCTATTAAGGATAATGTGGAATTAAGGCCTGTGTGGCCCAACCTCAATCTGGTTAAAACAACTTCTTCATGCCTATCAAGACCCAATGAAGTGATTCTTTTCCCTCCAACACTGCTCTGGTTCCCATGATAGTGTCTGGCATTACTCTCTGATCCCCATTCATCTTGCCACCTTAGCATCATCTCTGATTTAATTAATGCTTCAGCATCTCCTTTGCCCAATGCAATGTGAATTCCTACTTGGTCTAATTCCAGTGCTTTTTTAGCTAATTTATCAGCAATTTCATTGCCATCAATTCCATAATGACCTGGAATCCAACAGAACTGAACAACTAATCCAAGGCTTATAAGATTTAAAAGAAGATGCTTCACCTCTAATACCAAAGCTTCTCGTATTGCATTATCTGTTATAAAATGTTGTAGTACTGCCAAAGAGAGGTTTAGTCTCTTCAAGCCACCTAAGGGCAGTTATTATTGCAGTCATCTCTATTGTGTATACTGATAAAAGGTCACTCAGTCTATATCCATATCTTTTGTCAAATTATGGAATATAAATACCAATACCACATTGACCTTTGGGTTCTTTACAATCATCTGTAAATATTTTCAGATATCCATAATATGAAGTATTTAAATAACTTAAACAGGCTTCAGTATAACTTTGTTTGGTGAGATGCTCACTTTTTTTCCACTAATAAATCAATGTTTACCTCTGGTTTGGAGGAACACAGCTTAAAGCTAATGCTGGGCCATACTTCAATTCTTTCAATCCATAATGATTCACTAAATTGTCAATATTCCAACCAAACCCACTGGACTTTTTAAAATATTCCCAACAATCACTAAGCACTTAAAGAGCTGGGTTGTTAAAACTTCCTTTTAACCTAACCCAATAAGTTAAAGACTATTTCTCATACCTTAAATTAATAGGGGTTTCCTTAGATTCTACTAATAAAGCACTTGTAGTTGTTTTAAAAGCACCAAGGGCAATCCTCAAAGCCTTAAATTGCATTCTTTCAATTTTCTTGAGGGATGTCTTACATGCTGAGCTATACATTATACAACCATAGTCAATCGTTGATCTTGTGCTTTATATACAGTATGTTAGAGTCATCTCCCCAATTATGTCCAGTGACCTCATGTTGCATAAGGCCATTCTCCTTTTTACACTTTGTTTCAATATATTCAATATGATATTTCCATGTAAGTTTGGCATCCAACCATATTCCTAGGTACTTCAATTTGTCACTTCTTTCAAGTTGCTGATTATACAGCATAATTTTCTTAAAGGGATACTCCACTTTTTTTGGAAATAGGCTCATTTTACAACTCCCCCAGAGTTAAACTGTTGAGTTTTACCGTTTTTGAATCCATTCAGCCGATCTCCGGTTCTGGCGGTACCACTTTTAGCATAGCTTAGCATACATCATTGAAGTGGACAAGAACATTAGCATTTCTAAAAAAAAAATGACCAAAGAGTTTCGATATTTTTCCTATTTAAAACTTGACTCTTCTGTAGTTACATCGTGCACTAAGAACGACGGAAAATGTAAAGTTGCGATTTTCTAGGCTGATATGGCTAGGAACTATACTCTCATTCCTGCGTAATAATCAAGAAACTTTACTGCCGTACCATGAGAGCAGCAGGCGTAATGATATGACGCAGCGCCTGAAAATAGGCTACCTTCCATCAACACAACGGAACTATTTTCAGGCGCTGCGTCATATCATTACGCCTGCTGCTGTCATGAAAGTGGTACCGCCAGAACCGGAGATCGGTTGAATGTGGAAAAAAGTGGAGTATCCCTTTAAGTTTCAGGGACTTTCTTTCTAGTAAAATACACAACCTGTGACTTTGGAATAGAAAATTTAAAACCTCAAATCAACTCCCCACTGTTCAAGTATATGAACCTTTTGAACCTTATCATTAACATATGAAATGTTACGTCCTCTTTTCCAAATGACAGCATCATCTGCATATAATAGGTCTTCATTACTCTCTCCCAGTTGTTCATATATGTAATTTATCATTATGTTGAACAAGATAGGACTAATAACACTCCCCTGAGGAATTTCCTTTTCCACCTGTCACCTGAAGGAAGGTTCCCACCTATATTCAGTAACCAATTACCCAAAGACAGACCCCTATTGGACACACACTTACATAACAAAGTTTAAATAAAGACAAAATGGCTCTTACACAACATAATGTAACAATGTAGCAAAACTAAAGTTTCCTCACATTATGATCCATAAGTAGCCTACATTTAAAGTTTACAGATGTTATAGCAAAGGGAGGACCTGAATGCATTTTGAATAGCCCTAAAATAATTTTTCTTGTATTTTTGTCATATACTAAATTACAGCATTAATAATATATAATATTTTCAGACACAAAATTGATTTTCCCATGTCTGACTGATTATATATAGCGTAAATGGATGGAGAAGCATAGTTTACTGTAAAGCTACGTCTTAGTGTTGCTTATCTTGGCGAAAGCCGAGTACAAATCAGCATGAAGTTTTAACATCTACTCTCGTGTAATGGAAATCATTATAAATGACTGATGTTTATTGCAGTGACTTTAAAGATGAAAAGTTACAAATATGAACTTTTATTTGTGGCTTCCTACTGTATGTCACTGTGCCTTTTTCATCTTCCAGTTTCAGATGTTGCAGAGTTTCTAAAGTGCTCCTGCGGCTGCGTGTCGAAAACAAATAAGGCCACACATGTTGCTATACACGTTTCTGTCTTATACGACTTGTTAATACTTGGCTATATAACTTTTAAACAAAATTAATTGGAAAATAATAAGGCTAAAGGCCCATTCACACCAAGAACAAAAACTATAAAGATAACTAACGTTATAAGACAAAGATCCACACGAACCCACCACAATCTGCGTATTCAGTTTTGTCGTCGGCAGCTTTATATGCTCGAGCTCTCTAAAGCAGGATGGATTCTGATTGGGTGTCAATGTTTGTACCCTCATCAGCTGGGGAAAAAAATCACGATCATCATTTAAACAATATAATTTCTCTGTGCCGTTATTGTTATTGCTGTGGTGTGAACTCTGGATTTGTTTTATACTTAGAACGTTTTTTTTAGAACTATGTCTTTAACGTTATCCTTGTAGTTATCGTGTGAAAGGGCCTTAAGTCATGTCTTTGTCAAGTGACCATAAAGTTTGTTTTCAAACCTTCCATTCTATTTACAAATGAAATCACCTACAACCATCAAAGTATTACGAGAAGCCTAATTAAGATCATTCAAATAAAGTGCATGAAATAATTTCATGAAAATCAAGAGATATAGAGCATTAATTGAAAAATAAAACACTCACTTAAGCACTTGACCAAAAACAAAACAAAACAGAAAACCGAGATATTCTGCTGAGCTAATTATTTGTTCAAAAGATCTGATAAGTAGAAATACCCTATTATTATCAGGTTGGCATTTTGTAGATCAGTCTGTGACTCATGCCTTATCTTGCTCTGTGCAGCAAACACTGATAACTCCAACATTGTGTGCAATAACTGAAGAACTGCACAGCTAGTGTAATCCTCATGCAAAAAAGTCACAAAGTGTATTTCTCAGTATTACCTCAATAGATAATCAGTATAGCATTGGTCACACCTCACTTCACATACTTCTGCTATACACGCTAGATGTACTTCGGCTGATGCAGAGTATGGTTTGTCAGTATACATCATAAAATCACCACAGTCCCCTGTCATGCACTTTTGGTGTTAGCATGTAAGCATTAGCATGTAGCTAAATTCATGACTCTTCTTAGGTTCAAACATTTTAACACATCCCCCAAATATTCTGAATATTGGTTGTAGAGGGCTTTTTAGTGACCAATTCTTGAACTTTAACTTAAAGGCACACTGTGGAATTTTTGGTCACTAGGGTGCGCTCGACCTGTAATTTTCCATAATTTCACGTCTAATGCCCCTAGAGGCCACAAGCGCCGCAGCATTGTCGCAAAAGTCAACAAACAGTCAACCGGTCAACCTCCAGTGTCTTTATGTGTGTGCA